TGTACGCCCTTCTTCGTCTACGCGAGCGCTCTGCCGCGCTGCGACGGGAAGCAGGCGCAGCACGTCGAAATAGAAGTTAAGATAAACAAGTGGGAGGAGCAGCAGAAGGGCAGCTCCTGCCACCTCATCCTCCTCCTCCTCCTCCTCCTCCTCCTCCTCCTCCTCCTCCTCCTTTCACTCATGGTAGAGGGCACCTCGTGGGCGAGTCGGCGGTCAAGGTCGAGAGAGCGGGCCCCCGTGGCGCCCGCCCAGCCCCAAGAGGAAGGTCCACTGGCGCGCTCCTGTGGCGCCCAACCCTCAGAATCAGGCCTTGCGGTGCCAGAGGAGGAGGAGGAGGAGGAGGAGGAGGAGGAGGAGGAAGGGATGAGAAGCGAAGGGAGGGGAAGGAATAGAAGAGGAGGGAAGGGAAGATAGATATGGGAAGGGAAGGGAAGGGAAGGAAAGGAGGAAGGGACGAGAGGAGGAGGAGGAGGAGGAGGAGGAGGAGGAGGAGGAGGAAGAAGGAGGAGGAGGAGGAGGAGGAGGAATGGGTGGGAAGGGAAGGGACTGGGGAGTGGACAGAACCCCCTTTGGCAAGACGCCCTTTAGTGAGAATTGCCAGCGGCACTCCACGTGCGCACGGTACCGCATTCCGAGGAGACCCCAGCGGGGGTAGCTAACCGACGTCCAACAATAACCGGATGTATCCCGTGAAACGCCCATCGCTCAGCAAAGTCGACTGCGGACGGCGCCAGTGCACGCGACTGCCCATGCAGGGTGCACCCGTACACCATTTGTGCCGTGGCCTTGTCTGGGGGGGGGCGCTCTGTCAGTGCCCGCGCGATCGCGCAAGCTTGGCGACGGCATTGCGAATTGACTCGACGCAGGAGGGGAAGGAGGGGGAAGAGAGCACGTCCGCCTCCACCTGCACATCCACCTCTTCCGCCTGCTGCCAGCCATCCTCCTCCTCCTCCTGCTGTTGGTCGTCCGACTCCTCCTTCTCCTCCTCCTCCTCTTCTTCCTCCCTCTCCTCCTGAACTGACTCCTGCTTGCACACTCCGACGCAACATCCGCGTCAACAGCGCCGAGGCCACAGGCACCCCACGCGGTCCTGAGGAATCCCAGAGCGGAGGCGGTGAGCGGAGTCCACTCTACGATGTTGTCGCCAAAATAAACCTGGGCGGGCACAGGCAGGACCAGTAGCACAGCAATCTACAACTGCCACCGGTGTAGCGATTCGCTCGCCAACCATCGAATACTGCAATTCGCGCTCACCCCTCTCGTGTGCGTAGCGGTGCGGCGCCGTGCAACCCTTGCGGGGTCACCACGATCGTGGGGAGAGCCCAGGCGGCCAAAGACAGGGCGAGGCCAAGAGGACTCTCTCCGGAGGCGCCAACAAAGCAGCATAACAACACAAGACGGTGTACCCCTCTTGAGGTTGTGGTTGCAAAAAAATCCAAGCCCGAAGCCAAGAACACCAATGACAAGATCCAGAACCCAGGCCAGGCGGGGGTGAGCCGCAGCGACACTGTGAACTCCCCCGACATCCGGCTGCTGCAATTTTTTCGATGCGTGGGCCCCGCAGGTCTGAACCACTTCCACGGGACCAGACTTTCATCCTGAATCTTTGTGCGACGGTCCCGAGGCCCGGCAAGGGCGCCAGGAGGCCGAAAACGACCGTAACCCCGCGGCTCCAATTCTTGTTGGGGCGTCGGATCTCTGGTTCCAGAGGGCGGAGAGGAGCAGATGGGGGAAGGAGACAAAGCCCAGCCCCCCTGGGAGGGTCCCTGTTGGACGCTCTATCCTGGAAGCGGCCAAGAGGACACCTCTCACCTCCATAATAATAGTAGTAATAATCATCATCATCATGATCATCATGATCATCATCATCATCATCATCATCATCATCATCATCATCATCATCATCAGTAGCAGCAGCATCATCATCAGCAGCATCATCATCATCGTCACCATCAACTTCATCATCATCGTCCCAGCACCCCCCACCATAACAATCACCGTCAACATCACCATGACAATCGCCATCATCACCATCACCACCACCGCAACTACCATCATCATCATCATCATCATCATCATCATCATCATCATCATCATCATCATCATCACCATCATCAGCATCATCATCAGCAGCAGCAGCATCGTCCTCGCCATCAGCATGATGATCATCATCATCCTCAGCATCATCAGCATCAGCATCGTCATCACCATCATCATCATCATCAAACATCATAATCATCATCAGCATCATGGTCATCATCATCATCAGCAGCAGCAGCGTCACCAACAAGATCATATTCATCATCAGCATCATTATCATCATCACAATCACCATTACCATCATCAGCATCATCAGCAGCAGCATCACCAACAACATCATTTGAGGGAGTTTCTGTGGAACTCACGTCATTTGAGGGAGTTTCTGTGGAACTCACGTCATCCTCACCCCCGGCGCGAAGAGCACGAGTCCAGAGCGGCCTCCGGCACCGTTTCCGGACGGATCCGGACGGATCCGCTGGATCCGGGGACGAATCCCAAACCGGCGCCCTCGCCTGAGACATCCCCGCAAAACCGGCCCCGGGGGAGGTGCCCAGAGGAGCCCAGAGCGGCCTCTGTTTCCGGACGGATCCGGACGGATCCGCTGGATCCGGGGACGAATCCCAAACCGGCGCCCTCGCCTGAGACATCCCCGCAAAACCGGCCCCGGGGGAGGTGCCCAGAGAAGCCCAGAGCGGCCTCCGGCACCGTTTCCGGACGGATCCGGACGGATCCGCTGGATCCGGGGACGAATCCCAAACCGGCGCCCTCGCCTCAGACATCCCCGGAAAACCGGCCCCGGGGGAGGTGCCCAGAGGAGCCCAGAGCGGCCTCCGGCACCGTTTCCGGACGGATCCGGACGGATCCGCTGGATCCGGGGACGAATCCCAAACCGGCGCCCTCGCCTGAGACATCCCCGGAAAACCGGCCCCGGGGGAGGTGCCCACAGGAGCCCAGAGCGGCCTCCGGCACCGTTTCCGGACGGATCCGGACGGATCCGCTGGATCCGGGGACGAATCCCAAACCGGCGCCCTCGCCTGAGACATCCCCGCAAATCCGGCCCCGGGGGAGGTGGCCAGAGAAGCCCAGAGCGGCTTCCGGCACCGTTTCCGGACGGATCCGGACGGATCCGCTGGATCCGGGGGCGAATCCCAAACCGGCGCCCTCGCCTGAGACATCCCCGCAAAACCGGCCCCGGGGGAGGTGGCCAGAGGAGCCCAGAGCGGCTTCCGGCACCGTTTCCGGACGGATCCGGACGGATCCGCTGGATCCGGGGACGAATCCCAAACCGGCGCCCTCGCCTGAGACATCCCCGCAAAACCGGCCCCGGGGGAGGTGCCCACAGGAGCCCAGAGCGGCCTCCGGCACCGTTTCCGGACGGATCCGGACGGATCCGCTGGATCCGGGGACGAATCCCAAACCGGCGCCCTCGCTTGAGACATCCTCACAAAACCGGCCCCGGGGGAGGTGCCCAGAGGAGCCCAGAGCGGCCTCCGGCACCGTTTCCGGACAGATCCGGACAGATCCGGTGGATCCGCGCCCCGGGGGAGGTGCCCAGAGGAGGAATGAGGAGGAGGAGGAGGAGGAGGAGGAGGAGGAGGAGGAGGAGGAGGAGGAGGAGGAGGAGAAGATGATGGAGCTGCGGGGTGGAGGAGGACAGACGGAGGCAAGAGAAGGATGGAGGAGGAGGAGGAGGAGGAGGAGGAGGAGGAGGAGGAGGAGGAACCTCATCCTCACCCTCGCCAACAAGCGCACGCACCTTCTTCTATATACAGAAACTCCCGATCAACCGCAGAGCGGCCGGCTAGTAATCATCAGGTTGAGGCTCTGTGGGCAGGCTTGCTTACCCTGTGCATTCTGCCACGACCCCAGCATTTCCAGAGTTCACCCTGCACTTGCGCACCATACCTCCCTTAGCAGCGGCTGTGAGCCGTACCTGATGTCCTGCGTGGCATCGGCGGCTGAGGGCGGTCAGGAGCAAATGCTAACTCCTTCTACGTGCTGAGCGGGCACATGCCCACCTACGTCGGCATCACTACTGTGTGATGGCAGCCGCGTCGGCCGATGTCTCATCGTGCTGGTCCTGCTGATGCGGCTGCCGCTCCATGGGCTGCACACGCGCCCAAGTCGACTACATGGGCGTTCAAAGCATCGAGGCAGTGCGGGTATCTTACAAACTTTGAGCCAAAGGGGGTTCCGCAAGGAGTGTGGCAGGGATCGCATGGGAAGGCCATGACCCAACGGTGGACTACCAGCGAGACATGCCGGCTCGTCAAGGAACTCAGGCTGAGCCGCGAGTGATCAGATGGACACCGACAAGACTGCCGAAGGTGACCCCACTCGTGCGATGAAGGGGTTTGCGGCCCTCTCAAGCGCCTCGGTTCCGCGGAGGAGCACGCCTGCTCCGTCGCTGCCAAGGCCTCCCTCACAGAAGCAGAACAGGCAATCAAAGCTAGTCGGAGTCCTGAAAACCGCTTGCGCTCTGCTATGAATCCTCTACAAGCTAAGGTGTGTGAGTCAGAATAATTCCGGATCCTTTGGCTGCCTGCGTCAATTCCGTGCGATCCCAAGGCTAGCCTAACGAACCCCAATCGCAAGTGCTGGCTCAAGCGTTTCTGAAGTGCTAGCTAGCATCCAGTCGATAACGAGGCCATCGAGCAGTCCAAACATGGGCCAAAGCTCGGAAGACGTCACGTCTTAATACGCTAGCTCCGACGGATTGGCTTGACAGGAGAGATGCCCAGTCGTGGCCCTGCCACACCCCGCCCAAGGCGGGCTGGGCAGCAGAGCTCCTATGGGTACCTCTCCTGCCAGCCTCTACTGTGTTGATGATGTTCGTGGTGTGAGCTGGTGGGTTCGAAACAGGAGCCGTTCATGGGAAGGAGCCTGCTCATGCTGCTGCTGATCCATGGCTGCTGCTCCCCAAGAAGAGTCGTTTTGACTCTGGGCGTTCGGGCATCACACACCGACGCCGAATCTGAGGTCACGATTGCACGATCTCCAGCCTTCCTCGGGCAGGAATTGCATGCTGCGCTAACATGCAAGCGCCCTGGTCATCATCATCATCATCATCATCATCATCATCATCATCATCATCATCATCCTCATCATCAGCATCATCATCCTCATCCCCATCCTCATCATCATCATCACCATCATCATCGTCATCATCAGCATAGTCACCATCATCGTCATCAACATCATCATTCTCAGTATCAGTATCCTCATCCTCATCCTCATCGTCATCATCAGCATTATCCTCGGCATCCTCCTCATCATGAGCATCATCAGCATCATCCTCACCATAAACATCGGCATCGGTATCAGCATCAGCGTCAGCGTCATCAACATCATCATCATCAGCATCACCATCATCAGCATCAGCATCATCATCAGCAGCATCAGCATCATCCTCGGCAGCATAATCATATTCATCTGAATCATCATCACAACCACCACCATCATCAGCATCATCAGTATCATCCTCATCATCATTATACTCAGAATCGTCAGCCTCGTCCTCGTCATTACCCATATCACCATCATCAACAGCAGCATCATCATCAGCAGCATCACCATCATCACCACTACCACTCGCATCAATAATCATCATCATCTGCATCAGCAGCATCATTGTTGTCATCGGCGCTATCTCCACCACAATCATCAACCTCATTCTCATCATCATCATCAGCAGCAGCAGCATCATCATCATCAACAGCATCATCATCATCGACGTCGTCGTCGTCATCGTCGTGGTCGTCGTCAACATCATCGTCATTATCATCGCCATCGTCATCATCATCGTCATCATCGGCATCAGCATCCTCCTCATCATCAGGGCGCGAGTGGCTTAGAGCACCTTCGCTTCCAACCACCCCTCTTCCCCTTCGGGAAGGGGTAGGAGGGGGTTCCTCCTCCCCCTACCCCTCCCCTGGACTTGGAAGGAGAGGCGCGGGTCGTTGGAGCGTCCAGGGAGGCTTCGGCGAGAAGGCAGACATCGTTTAAACCCGTAGGTATTGGGCAAATTTGGGTCTCCCTGGGGCGGGGGGCAAGGCTAATTGGGGCACCCCCTTCTTTGATCGATCTCCTCCAAGATGGCCCCAAGATAGCCCCCC